GGTGTAGCTGCTGTTGTCACGCTAACACTCTTAGCGCTATCATCACCTATGGAGCTGTCAATCACCTTCTTGGGGGGGAGGGGAGGGAGGGAGAAGCAAAGACGAATAAAGGAAGGACGAAAAGGTAGCAAGGAGAGGCAGGTAGAGAGAGTAGGAGTGAGGTACTTCTGAGAGAATGAGAGAGAGAGAGAGAGAGAGAAGAGAATATGTGGGCTGTGATAGGAGAAACAGGAGGAATAGAGAAACGGAAGGAGGGACGGAGTGGGGAGGGAAGCATGGAGGAGCGATAGAGAGGGCGGGATGGAAGGAGAGAGATAGGGAGCGAGGGAATGAGGGAGAAGAGGGAGGGAGTGAAGTCCTGCACTCATTTCTAACTACATTTCTAAGGGTTAAAATACCAGGCAGTCTTAGTTATTGCTGTATACAGATATTGATACCTTCTATTACATTAAATAAATCATTACATATACTTACAGAATTATGTAAGTAATTACAGTTACATAATGAATTACATTTACATTCAGTTTACATTCTGCATCGACAGGTTGGAGTCTGCATTTTCGACTTCTGTTTCTGTGTCAAACACTGACAAGAATATTACAACATATAAAGATTTTTTCTTTTTTGCTTTGTGAAAAAAAGACTGTATGCACAACAACAAGTTTTCATCGCTGAAATAAGGTACATATTAAGTTTTCTGTGGACTTACCAGCATCATCCAGAAATCCTGCCAGTGAAGCACAGATAATGTGTCTGTAAATGTCATTAAAAATACTACATTCAGGAACGTGATGCTATTTTGAACAACCATTGAACATTTTATTAGCTACAAAGGAAACTCTGCTTGAAAGTTCAATGTTGTTAGAGTTTGTGATATTCATCTGAATTATAGGGCTCATATCTTTCAAAACTGAATTGTTCTTGCTCTAAGGAGTAACTACACCCCTAAGACCTTTTTTCCATTAACGGCTGAAATGAACTGCTCTGTAATAATAAAATATACCAGACTTGCTTAAAATGTAAACACACCTTTCCAAACTGTAAAAATATCATTTTTATCATGGTCAGTTCCGCCTCTGCAGTGCCCCTCTGGTTCAACTCTGCTATAGACATGGAGGACACGTCACAGTATGCAAATCAGTCAACCAACGTTACCGCCCCCTGATGGTTCCACACTCATAAATATGAAAGCATAGGACCCTGGAGCGAGGAGATAACCACACTCACGTGCTGAGCTAAATACCCCCAGCCCCACCTCACAAGGCTGCGATATGCCAGATGTCTGCAACAACTGTAAATAACCCAATTAATCTAAGCTGAGCTTATAATAAAGATGTTATGATTAGCACATTTATTGATAATGTTCTACGCATGACTAGGTAACCTGAAGGACTGATTAAGTGAGGATTCTTGCAAGTCTCTATTTAGTTACTGGTGTTGCATCCGATTCATGTTTCCCTTCATAAATCAAACCTTCGGGCGCGCAACTCACTGAACAGAAATCAACGGCAAGCAACACTGGAACTACAGAAAGTGAAATGGTTCAGGAAAGGCCTCCGTACAGCCTTTCTTGAACTTTTATTGAATACGCACTGAACAGATAATTAGAAGTTAGCTGTCGCAGTTTTAGGGAATGTTTTACCATTCAGACGCGTCTCCCGCTCGCTGCTAATCATTTTCTGGCACTACATTAACTCTTCAGAGGCTTGAGTAAGTTGCTCATACTGGTGAGGCTCAAGACACACTGCCTGATCAGAGAGACCTTCCTTCATCGAAGATGGGGATGGTAGTGGAGACAAATCGTCAACCTCGTAAGACTTCAAAGTTGCAAAAGTACCATTTGATTCTGTCACTGTCCATATTTTCTGGTAGCTAGCGTTAGCTTTGAAAACACAGCAGCCCAGCCTGCCCGGTTTCCCTCGCAGCCCCACCTCCAAACTGTCTTAATATACACTCTTAACTTTCAGTGTAAGTTAATATAACAAGAATTTATTTCATTTTTGATCATTTCTGTTGGTCTGATTGTTGCAAAATTTTGATATAGCCCAGGAGTCAGCTGGTGCTGATGTACTAGTATAGGCTAAAAATATAATATACTGTGTAACGGGAAAATTCAAACAAGAAGTTGGTGAATGAGAAACTGACTTTAGCTTCGCCACTTTTTTAGTGTTTGACAGTTTCTCGTTGCAGATTAAACATATCAGGAAACCAGCTGGAGTGATTATAAATGCAAATAAGGCCATTCATCTTAATTTACTGATGTCCATCTCTTTGCCTTTTTGTTAGCTATTAGCTAGGCCAGATTCTTATCTGTGTTGCTATGTAACCAGCAGTCTGCGTGCCAAACTTTAGGGTTAAAGGTTGGTAAGTTAGCAGTTATAAATGAACTCGAGTGCTTGTCAAAACTGTGTTAGAACGATCCGCAGGGCTTTATTTTACTGCAAAGGATGATTATTTTATGTTTCCCTTAAAATCTAATTCAGCTGTGGAGCCGCAACAGGGCAGTAAAACAGCTGTATGTTGCCGACCCCTGGTCATTCAAGTAATGTCAAATAAATAAATAAATATACAAAGATCCAGCAGCGACTATGCACAGGTACTAGTCAGTCTTAGATTTGGGAAGTGTGTGTAGTAATGAGAGCCTGGGTGTGTTCCCTGGCCCCGGGTGACCAGGGTCATTACTGTGTGGAGTTTCCATGTTCTCCCCATGTCTGTGTGGGTTTCCTCTGGGTGCTCTGGTTTCCTCACACAGTCCAAAGACATGCAGTCAGGCCAACTGGAGATGCTAAATAGCCCATAGATGTGAGCGTGTGTGAATGTCTATGTCTGTGTGTCTGCCTTGCGATGGACTGGTGACCTGTCCAGATTGTTTCCTGCCTTCCACCCAGTGAACGCTGGGATAGCGTCCAGCACCCCCCGCGACCCAGAAGGATATGCAGCTTAGAAGATGAATGAATAAATGAATGAATGAATAAATGTAGTATTCAGTGGGTGGAGCTGGAGCAAGAGTGGGCCAGTCCCACATGGGAGGGTCCATGAGCGGTTGCCCATGACTGAAATGCTGTTTTCTGCTGTACTGCAGCTAACGGCGCTTATGAACTTTCAGAATGCAAGCAAGTGACCGCAATAAACCGCAGACTGCTGATACTTTTCACACACGCAGTATGAGGTCGTCACTGGAGCAGAGCTGAATCATGGTCACTAATAGTGTTACTGACAGCGCTGCAGTGTTCAGCCCTGCACCCCAGTAAACCAACTGCACAAGCACTGGAGTGGAACTCCATTACAACACCAACCACCAACAATACATCACAGAGAGAGAGAGAGAGAGAGAGAGAGAGGGAGGGAGAGAGAAAGAGAGAGAGAGAGAGAGAGAGAGAGAGCATGTACTGTATATGTCAGTGTGTTTGTGTTTTGTATATGTTTGTGTGTGTGTCTGTGTATGTCTGTGTGTGTCCACAGACAGAATAAGCTGTATCTGTCTTCTCCTGCATCCTTGAAGAACATGACACACATCTCCACACTTAAAAGCCAGCTCTGTCAAACTGCTCCTCGGACCACCCTCATCACTCCCCCCATAGAGGCACACAGAGAGAACCAGCCTGCTCTGTGTACAGGACTACAGTACTAATAAACAGTGCTGTGGAATGATGGAAAGAAGGAGAAAAAGAAAGAGGGAAATATATATATATATATATATATATATATATATATATATGTATGTGTGTGTGTGTGTGTGTGTGTGTGTGAGTATGGCTACTGTCGGAACAAAACCTTGTATCTTATTGTATAAAAGCGTGTGTGAGACAGACTCACTGACTCATTTGGGGCAGAATAAAGAAATGTCAGAGCTTTTGATGATCTATTTTTAGCTCACAGCTGTGGCTGTTGAATTAACTGCTATAATAATCGTCTGTTGTCTCTGTTCTTTATGTTTATTTGCATAAATACACTTGCAGAATCACAGCATAATGCAAGTTCTTTTCCCACGCTGTGCACGGTTGAAATGACTGTTCACACAAACACACACACACACAAGCACACACACACACAATCAACCATTGATGATCATTGTGAGAGTGTGTGCATCTGTTGTTGTGAGAGTAGAGGACAGGCCACTGAGTTCATGGCCATCTGGTAAGAGACCCTTCTGCTCTGGACTCTGTGTGTGTGTGTGTGTGTGTTTGTGAGTGTTTCAGTTGTGAGTGTTAATTGTGCAGAACTAAACACTCTGTAGTGTGAAGTTTCAAGCACTAACTCACTATCTGATAAACAGTGCCACTGACACAGTGGCACACACACACACACACACACACACACACGCACACACACACACGCACACACGCACACAATATCCTCAAGAGTTTTTAACATAACACGAGTCCAAAGAATACATTTGGTTTACATTCTGTTTCAGTCTGTTTCAGTTTGTTTGTTGGGCACACTTTACATTGATAGTCCTCTGCAGATGATCTGCAGATGTTGTATTTGTTAACAGCCTATTTGGTGCAACTATTTTGATTATCAACAGTGTTAGAGTTCAAGTTTAGGATTAGGTGTTGAGTTGAAGTTAATGTGTCAGATTTAACCAAAGTTCAGTTGCAGCTGAGCATCTACAAAGAATTTACAGTGGACTCTCAAAATAAAGTTTCAGCAAGATGTTTTATTCTTTCTGTGAACAACATCATTAGCTTTTCATCATAAGCAATATATGAAACATAATTGATAATAAAATGAATTAAGGTAATTGTTAAAGATACAGAAAATAATGCATGATTAATAATGATTCGTAAATATTGTAATAATGTTTAATCTGGCAATAGCTACCAGATTCGACTGTTACCAAGAGTGGATAAGTAGATATATAAAGTAGTTATGTTGTTTGGCAACTGTAGCTTTATTTAAATTAAATTCACTGCAGCACAGATCTCTGATGGTGCATTGCTTTTCTTATGCCATATACCCACCTTCTCTCTCTCTCTCTCTCTCCTTCTCTGCAGGCCACAGATAATGACTTTGGGACGTTCGGCGTGGTGCGCTACTACTTCAGTGACGAGCCAGACCAGTGAGAGATTATCATACATTACCATCCTCTGACATTTCACCCTCAATCACCGCTCAGAGACATTTCATGAGAAATCTATTCAATATGCATGAACCTAATTTCTTTATTGCTGTGTTTACACGTTAGCATTGAAAAAAATAACATTCTGCGCCTCACAGCAAATTGATGACGAATCAGCGTTATGTCAAAACAGTGAAGAAATCACTTCCAGGTGGATAACGCAGGTCACGCTAGACTGATTTTGACTGAACAGGATTTTGTAGTAACTCTGAGACTTATTTAACTAATATATTGGAAAAATAGATAGACCTTCCAAGGTCAGTAAGTTTGCGACTTTGGTTAATTGTCATATAATCATGTTCACATACCAGCCACACATTTAATTGCAGGGTTTAATAAAGCAATAAAAAGCAATACTGTGATTGTATCACGGGGAAGGGTGTTCTTAGGCACGAAGCGGAGCAAAGTGTCTACAACCCCCCCTTCCCAGTGGGACCTTTTTAAACTGTGTTGATGCCCTTTCTTTTAAATTTATTTTTCTATTTTAAAAATACAAATACATCTCTTTCTGCTGGCAAAGTGAATGTTGTGCATGTTTAAAACTCAATTAAGGCCATGTTGTGCCTTTGAGTGTTTATTGTTTGCACCTCTGGGGACTTAAATTTACCTAGACAGTACCTTTTTGACAAAAGCCACGTTTACATGCAGGTTTATAATCTGTTAATAATCTGACTAATAGCTCAACGGGAATAGAATACGTCCACGTGTACACCTCAGTCAGACTAGACTGATAGAGGCAATTCGGAATAAAATTTCTATCCGATTGAACGAGGTGGGTAATCCTGTAAATAATCTGTTAAATAGAAGAATAATAGCTGTGTAAACATCTGTGTCTGATTACATTCCCAGTTGGAAAGTTTAAGTAGGTTCTGATCATGTGCGTCACGTCATAGTGAAAGTTTATAAGGTTCAACATGGTGGAGCAGAAACTGGTCTGCAGAGGAGACGGAGTTTGTGCTCTGATCTTTAAAAGACGGCGGTGGGACGGACGTCCAGCTTATGTGTCTCAGAACACGACATCTTCCTCTCGGCCTTCTTTAATAAGGACATGTGAGGCACGTTTTCCTGAGTCTGACATCATTTTAATGTGATTAAAAACACAAGCACGGCTCACTGATGCTCATCTCACTCTGACTGGGACCTCATGTGATGCTAGTTGTCATGGTAACATCTACACTAAGTAGTACTCTATTCATGTGTGTAATTTTGGATCCGATTACTTGTATCCAGCATGTAAACAGAGATTTTCCATCAGATTGTTGAGTAGAGTGAGTATATAAACACCTCAGTGTTAATCTATAATCGGAATATATTCAATCGGATTGGCAAAAGTCTAAATAAAATTTTTGCTAACATGCTTTAAAGCTTGTCCCCCCTCAGTGACAACTGCTTTAGGGGCACTCCTTTTTTTTCACTGATTCCCGGTTTCTGCCCCGGCCCCAGGTTCTCACTGGATGCGGACACAGGCTGGGTGACTCTGAAGGACCGGCTGGATTACGAGCTGATGCGTCGCTACACTCTGACCATACTGGCCCGGGATGGAGGAGGGGAGGAGACTACAGGTCGTCTCCGCGTCAATGTGATGGACGTGAACGACAACCCGCCCGTCTTCCAGAAGGACGCGTATATGGGCTCGCTGATGGAGAATGAGCAGGCCCCCCAGCAGGTGGCCAGAGTGAGGGTGAGTCCAAAACCCAGTCAGGAGAGAAAAACACCACCATCAGACTCTCACATTCACCCGCACCAGTTTGGTTACGTCTTAAGTGGTGCAGAAATGGGCAAGAAGCTAACGAATAGCTGACTTTAGCTTCATATCGCCAAAGAATTAGGGGTGGGCGATAATATATAATTGTCAAATACCCCCACTTTAAAGGCATATGATGCCTTAAATGTAACTAAAGCCCAGCAGTGAGGAGCTGAACTTTACCCTCCTCTGCTGTCACTGCAGACTGGCAGGGTCGTCTACAGAGCAGCGCTGGTAGTCTGTTAATGATGTAATGTTCTTTTTCATTTGGTCCCATTTTGTAGGGGAAGATTTCAACCACTACTCCTTGTAACTCAGTTCCAAGGGGCAAGGTGACACTCGAGAACAAGGGGTAGGGGTAGAAATAAGAAATGGGATTGGGCCTTAGTCTTGTGTGACTTGACAGGTTTTGGGTAGTTGGTAGAAAGCAAGTAATGTGTAAAAATCTGTTTGTTTGTTTGTTTGTTTCTTTCTTTCTTTCTTTCTTTCTTTCTTTCTTTCTTTCTTTCTTTCTTTCTTTCTTTCGGATGCTGTATCATTTTAAAATTATGTTTTCTTTCTCTCTTTTTTGTCTCTTTTGTCTCTTTCTCATGCTTTATTTTTCCTGTCTGCATGCTTTCTTTCTTTCTTTCTTTCTTTATCTCTCTCTCTTGATCTCTCTTCTTTCTTTCTTTCTTTCTTTATCTCTCTCTCTTGATCTCTCTTCTTTCTTTCTTTTAAAATCATTTTCTAGTGCAAAATTCTCTTTCTTTCTTTCTTTCACCTGCTTACTCTCTCTCTCTCTCTCTCTCTCTCTCTCTCTCTCTCTCTCTCTCTCTCTCTCTCTCTCTATGCTGTTTTCCTATATGTTTGTCTATAAACTCCAGAAGGCTGTGCTGTATGTGCTCTGGTGTTTTTAATTCGGAGCTGTTGGTCCAGCTCTCTGTGGACTTTTGCAAACAGTTGAGCAGCACAAACATCTACTGCATTTCCACTGACTGAAGCTGTGTGTGCGCATGTGTCTGTGTGTGTGTGTGTGTGTGTGTGTGTGTGTGTGTGTGTGCGTGTGTGTGCGCTCTCGGGTTGTCAGGTTTGATGAGCTGCCTGTAAGCAGTGCTGTGATGTGTGAGTGTGAGTGTAAACACTGTGGTTATTAATATAATATCTGAGAGAAATGAGTGTCTCCACACTGTGGACGCTGAGTCAGCAGAGCTGAGGAAAGAGTGAGAGTGTGGCTGGAGTGAACGAGTGTGTGGCTAGAGCAAAAGAGTGGAGGCTGGAAAAAATATGTGTGAGTTCAACACTACCCACACATTTACAGTTTAAAAACAATTAGACATCTCTGTCTTCCTCCAGGACTCTGCGGAGGCACAGAGGAGAGAAAAAGGCTGCCTCTGGCTCTTCAGCTCTGTCTCTTCCCCCATTCAAACATTTGCAAACAACTGTATGTCAACATTAAAACACAAAACAAATAATATTATTAACAGGAAGTATATGTATATGGACACTTTGTAGTGTAGATAATAACAATAATAATAATAATAATAATAATAATAATAATATACAATTGTATGTGACTCTAACCCCTGGTCAAATTACTTTTGCTGATTTTCTAAGTGAAAATAAGAGGGAACAAGCTTAAATACAGCAATTAGTTAAACTTTCATGTATACACCTCAGTACAAGCACAAATTCGATTCATTTGCTTACAGTTAAACATTTTGGAAGCAAATAAAATATAAAATGCACCATAACTTTTGCACAGGCCGCATTATGTTTTATTTCTTTTTCCAATATGATAAATTAAACAAACAAACAGTAATTGTGCATTAATGTGCAGCTCTCTATAAAGGATGTGTTAACTTATTTTCACTTAGAGAATCAGCAAAACATGCTATTTGACCAGGGTGCTCAAACTTTTGCATACAACTGAAATGATACAAATAAAAGAGTTGCCCTCTGTTTAAGCTTATGACAACACAGTATGACTGGTTTGGGGGATTTAATGGAAAATATGATCAATTATGAGCAATGTACTTTTTTGACAACCAGGCTGCTACACTGTAATTTAAAAAAGTGGAACATGCTACTAAATGTTACTTGAATACTTACCTAAATACTGCCCTCTGGAGCGTATACTGGTCACTGAACCTCAGCAGCTAATATACAGAAAGTACACTGTAAAAAAGGAAAATAGTTGTGTCAACAAAGTTTTTAGGTAACTTACTTCACAGCATTTTTGAGTTAAATCACCCCGAGGGCCTTGATGAACTCCTCTAGTTGAGTTAGTTGCCTTAAAATGTTGTGTTGACCCAACTAATTGGTGTTTGAACATGTAGGCACTGGATTTAGCAGGTCACATCAATTTATTTTATTGATAATATGACAATCCTCACATTGAGCTCATTTCACATCATGGCTCCCCACAACACCTCTAAATCTTCATCATGTGATTTTTCCTCAGCTCAGCATTGTCTCTTCTCATTAGCTGAACGTCAGCACGGCACGATCCGATCGCTTCACCCTTCAGCCCTTGTTAGGTTCCATCGCTGGTGTTGATTTCATTCTGTTAGCGTTTAATACATCGTGTCAGCATGTGATTGTCTCTACATCGCCGTCACAGCTTAATAACACTCTTCAGCTCTAAGCTGGTTGATGATTGACAGGCCAGCTGTGTTTCTTTTCTCTCAGCAGGGCTGTCAAACTGCAGTCGCTTACAATTTTAGACCTGTCGAATTACCACTGTTGCTAGTGTTGTATATCTGTAGCCTTTCCAGACATACTGGGGGTTCTCATGATGGTGTTTTTTGCATTTCGGAAACAATTGCATGGCTGTGCTTGTCTTTCTGTGCTGCTTTGCTGTTGGGTCATTGTGAGTTACGTACACTGCCCATCAATGTGACTGGAGGTACTCTGCTCATAGTAGTGTAATACAGACAATGGAAACAGTACACCAAGCTTTTGTGGCCTCGGGGAGGTGGGGGGTGGTGGTGGTGGCTGAGAACAGCCAGAAATGTCAGAGAACATCATTTATTACAAGTCTAGTCAAAACAATCATTAAGTACAAGTTGTGCTTTTTTAAAGAGATATTTCTGAGGAGATATAAAACAATCCTCTTGCATAAGGAAGGGGAATGTCAAAGGAATATAATTGAAAACACAGGAATTTCCAAAACTAGAGTTCAACAAATGAGAGAAAATGGGACTCCTAAAAACCATGCAAGACCTGGTAGGCCACCAACACTGTCTACATCAGATAAACAGCACTTAAAGCTTTCAACTTTGAGATAGAGGAGAAAATGAAGCTGCTTCAGATCTGAAAAAATCCACAGGTGTTTCTGTCCATCTTTCCACTGTGAGAAGACGACTCAGCACTATGAGTCTGAAAGGATGTGTTCTCCAGATCTCAACATCATTGAATGTGTTTGGGAATACTTGGATTGTGAGAAGCAGGAAATGCAACCAACTTCTAAGACTGAACTTTGGAAGTGTGAAAAATATCCTTTCGAAAAACTGAAAGCAAGTCTCCTGAAAAGAATGGAGTCTGTAATAAAGATAAAAAGTGAATAACTGAATAATATGTAAAATGTAAAAATGCAAAATGTCATGTTACATTTAGTTGTTGAGGCTATTTTCTGTTAAATATTTTCTATGTTCCCAACACCAAAAATTGAACTATTTCTCATCAATTTTTGTTTTAACTGGAAATTAAATGAATAAAGGGTCTCTGACTTTTGCAAAGTACTGTGCAAATATGACTGGAGGTACTATATACACATAAGTACACAGCTCATCTCTGTAGCAAGTGCACTTTTTCTGTTCACTAATTTTAAACAGAGCTGGCTGGAAAGGAGTCGGTGACTGTGCTCAAACTGTGGCTGTAGTATCTTTATTTATCGTAGATGCAGTGTGATTTCTGTTCACACATGAGAGTCATGCTGTTTTGTCAGGTGAGCTTGATTTTAGAAAATTTACAGGAGACACTCGTTTCAGATGATGTTAAAGTTTTTTTTTTTTTACATATTTATTGTTTTTTTGGTTGTGCACAGCCCTGCACTGCAGTCTAAGTCTCTTATTACATACTAAGACGTATTATTCAGTAACGACAGGGAATTCAATGCAAATTGCTGGTTATAACTGGTTATATGCTGGTTCTAGAAGTGTGTAATAAAACTTTGGGCCTCACAGCAGATTATTAATCATTATTAATTATGCAGTGTTAGATAAGAAGCATAAGCACTGTCAAGCCCACTAATGAATTATAAGATTTGTTGCCAACTATTGATTTAAGTAGTTTATTGTTCCATTGATTTGTAGTTGTCACAAATATTGCACATATGTTAACATTATTTTTATAAGTATACAAACATTGTTTTTTTATGTTTTTGCTAACCGATAAAGAAAACACTCATCTGTGTTGAGGAGAGACACTATAGGTGAAAAAACTCAAACAGTCAAAACTGGAGTCAAAATTCTATAAACATGTTCATTTCAGTGTGCTTAATCAGTTTGTGTCCACTTGTATCTGTGTGTTTTCCTAAAGTTAGCTACATTAATAAAGGCTTAGCTCCGCCCACACTTGGCACACACATGTCATGTCCTAGCTGCATGTTGTCTGAGATCTTGGTGGGTGATACGGTCCTGAGGCCCATTCTTGAAGTCGGTTTTCTCAAAAACAGCTTTTCTCTACATTCAGAGACAAACATCTCAATTCTTAGAATACCAGCATTCAGGAAATGTTACATGATCATTTCTATGTTTGTTCTGAAGAACGTTACAGAAGGATTTCCTAATATATTGCTCAAAGCTGAATTTGTGCTGGATTTTGTACTGTAAAATGACCTGAAAAAAGTTTTACACTGCAAAAAAATTATATCTTGGCAAGGGAAAACGTCTTAAATCTAGACAATGTATCTAATATTTCTATAATGAGGTTGTTCTAAGAAGATTATATGAATATTTTAGCTATTCCTGTACATTTTTACTTGCTTTAAGTCATTTTCTGTAGTAAAAGTGTCTTGCAAAATTACCAGCATTAATTTATAAAACAATTTGCCAAAGGAATAAGACACTTTCACTACATAAAACTGCTGTAAACCAGTTAGTAATGTTATATATCATCAAAGTCCAAAGAAATGTACTTTCAATGTACGCTAATGTAAAGAGATTTTATTCCAAGCAATTTTGGAGCATTTCTGTTGGTCCATTCATCATGAAATTTGCACACAGTAATGGGCATCCGCTGTGCTCACATGAAGTAGAAAGATAAAAATCTAAAAAGATAGTTTGGATAGATTTAAGCTGTTTTCAGTTGCTTTGATATCATTTTTGTGCAGTGTGTCATGTTCTCTGGATGATTTTAATAATATGTTCTTTAAAACCTCTTTCTGGTGTGGATCTTAACAATGAAATAAACATTTAAACCTTAACATCATCTACAAGCTAGATTTTTAGATTGTAAAAATATGCAAATTTATGCATATTTAAGTAGATAATGTCTAATTCGTATTTATATATTTTTTTCAAAACGTACAATATAAATATACTAATATACGAAATGTCACTGAATAACTGGCAAAGATTCGCTGTAGTATTAAAAAAAAAAATGTGTCCCCAAACTTTTGATATCTAGTGTACATCAGTATAACTCCAATGTTCCCTCTCTCTCTCACTCTCTCTCACTCTCTCAGGCAACTGATGAGGACTCTCCTCCTAATAACATCTTGACCTACTCCATCATATATGCCTCGCAGTTCCAGAGTTATTTCAGCATTACCATGGTGGAAGGGTATGCAGGTAATGTGGCCCTCGGGCTAAAATATCCAGCTCACACTCTTTAACGCCAATTTAATACACACTCGCGTGGCAAAGATTAGCATTTGCTACACTTCCTTACACTCCGTGACCTATGCTATTACAGCAGACTTAAAGCAGAACTACTGTGCAGCCACTCAGTGACGAATAGGATTGAATCAGAGGCTCTTAAGTGTGAAAGTATATTGAGAGGAAGCTTATAGAGCACCATACATGGCCTGTTCTTTAGTGTTATGTGACATTATGTCTGTTCTAACCTCATTGTGCCTTTTCTCTCTCAGTGATCATGGTGAACAGACCTTTAGACTATGAGCAGATTCCTGGAGGGATGATCTATCTGACCCTGATGGCCAGAGACGGGGGGAATCCTGCCCTGAACAGCACCGTGCCGATTACTGTGGAGCTGTTTGTGAGTATTTTCACAGTACAACTGAATGGGAGATTTAATAAGATAGACGATTCCTATTGAAGTGAAATGGGCCAAAATACTACAGTGGACACTTTACAGAGCTAAGAGAATTCAGACTGTGTACAGTCTCGTTATCATTCATTTAAATGGAATTCACCGAGACAAGCAACTTTGCATTGCTCATATCCAGAGGGAATAAATGTGAAGCTTAACACTGAGTTCATGATTTGCATCCTTGGCCACTACGGCTGCTGCTTTGGCTGCGTTTACCTATATAGGGGCAGGGCCTCACTTAGGAGCACTGAAGATCCAAAATTGAAGAAACAATAATTTTAACAGCGTCTTAGCACAACGCTTTAAATATTTCTTCCCAACTGGCTATAAGTAAACACATTAAAAAGAGAGCCTCCATGATATGCCGTTTGTCATGAGATGTTTTGTTCATGGTAGGTGAGTAACTGCTAGGTTAGCTGCCTGGCTAAGTGCAGCTGAACACACAAGTCACACCACTTACTCCAACCACACCAGGCTATATTAAGTATTAAGTATTTACTATTATTATGACTGTATTCACTACATTAATTCAATATTTTTTTATGTGAAGCAGCTCACAAACTCATGACCACTATCTTTACCACCACCAAGAAATAATTTGATTATAATTTGACTATAGATTGATTATAGATTGATAGATTGTAATTTAATTATTATATCACAATTTAATACAATGGAACAAAAATCTCTAGAGGAAACAGTTCAGCATCTTAAATCAACATGTTGTCTCGACACATTGCTGTCTGACTTTTTAAAGCTACTTTTACCTCTGTAGTATCTGACTTGCAGCAAATAGTAAATGGCTCACTGCTATCAGCCATTTTCCCAAAGTCACTAAAAACAGCTGCCCTTAAACCTCTCTTTAAAAAGACAACTCTGGATCCTTCTGTGTTAAATAACTCCAGACCTGTTTCAAATCTTCATTGTATAGCTAGGATCATTGAGAAAGTTGTTTTCAATCAACTCTTCAATTACTTTTAACGCAAGTGGTTATTTTGACAAATTTAAATCAGGCTTCTAACCTCACCACAATACTGAAACTGCTCTTATAAAATTGTTAAATGATATATGACTGAATACTGATTCCGGCAAAATATCAATTCTGGTTTTACTAAAACTCAGCGCTGCATTTGACACTGTAGATCATAAAATACTGCTGGACAGGTTGAAAAAATGGGTGGAACTTTCTGCAACTGTCCTTAATTAGTTCAGGTCTTATTCAGAAGGTCAGAGTTACTTTGTTACCTTTGGCAGTTATTAACCTGATAGAGTGTCTATGACATGCGGAGTCCCCCAGAGTTCAGTTCTCAGACCTCTTCTGTTCATTCTATATATGCTGCCTTTAGGCCAAATTCTACAGCACAGCAGCATTGATTACCATAGTTATGCAGATGATACAGTTATATCTGGATCTCACACCAGATAATTAGAGCCCAATAGACTCACTGTGTCAATATTTGGAGCATATAAATATTGCATGGGATAAAGTTTCCTTCAATTGCATAATGACAAAATCATAGTGTTTGGCAACATAGAGAAGAGAATTAGTATTAGTGAGCTTCTTGATTCTTGGGCTTTAAAGACCAAAGACTATCACCAAAACAGCCTTCCATCATCTTAAAATATAGCTAGAATCAAGGGTTTTGTGTCCCAACAAGGCCTAGAGAAGCTCATCCATGCTTTTGTCTCCAATAGGGTGGACTATTGTAAGGGTCTTTTAACTGGACTTCCCAAAAAGACTGTTAAACATCTACAGCTCATTCAGAATGCTGGTGCTGGAGTTTTAACCAGGACCAGGACAGCAGAGCACATTACTCCAAATCTACAACCGTTACACTGGCTTCCAGTTAGATTCAGAATAGTTTGTAAAGTGCCGCTACTAGTCTATAAATCACTGAATGGTTTAGGCCCAGAATACATCTCTGATATGTTTAAAGAACATAAAATGAGTAGGTCTCTTAGATCTATGGACTCAGGTCAGTTAGTAGAGCCCAGAGTCCAAACTAAACATGGTGAAGCACCATTTAGCTGTCAGTCAGCATACAACTGGAACAAACTGCCAGAAGATATCAGGTGATCTCAAGTGCCTCAAATGTATCAATTTTTAAATACAGGTTAAAAGTATTTCTCTTTTCATCTGCATATGATTGAGCTTTATAACTTTTACTTATACTTATACTTTAATTCCCTTTTATATCATTCCCCATTCTATCTGCACTTTACCCTTTTTGAGCTAATTTTAATAACACTTTGTTTTAATTTCCTGCTATGGTTTTATTCTATATTATGCACTTCTTCAATTAAGGGTTTGTAACTATCTTTGCAGAAGTCTTTCCAAAGTACTAAATCTCAGGATGTAATAAGCTGTATTATTTAATATTATTTAATACTTTAGTTTTTTTGTGTTTGTTTAAAGCACTTTGAATTACTGCGAAAGACATGTTCAAAACTCATCATAGTATTATCATGATGACTTGAGGTAGTGAGCAGCGTCGCCACACTGGGAGGTTTCCAGCCAAATTGGGCAGAGTTTTCTTGGTTATGTGGGAAACTACCCAATCTGGCAACACTGCTCCCTACCTCACATTTAGCAGTCTGAATATTCTCCATAACGGACAGATATTAGCACAGATATTGTGTGTTCATCAGAAAAAGGCATGAACCCACACCAGGCTATGCCAAAGGATTTACTGAAGAATTCACAATAAAACTATATCAAAAGAGCAAAGAATATGCTGTTTAATTTGTCTGCTTGTCTTTTACAAGCTATAGATGTCCATGTCTGAGACAGAGTTGCCATAATTGGTCTTAGCACTAACATAACACCGCAAATCCCATTGGAATCCTAGAGGACATTAGCAATATTGTCTTTGCAGTGGTAAAAATGTGGAAAACAGATGTGGAAACAGTATAAAAAGTATATTCCATTGTTCCAAAAATGCTTTGCCAACCCTTCTGAAAGTATGTATCTGCCATTATAGCCTATAGTTTAGCCCCACCCATTCATGCTGAAGTTATAAGGAATGTTTCAGCCTGGAATGCTTTATAAAAGAGGCACAATACAAGGCAGCCAGTCAAAATAGAGCTCATTTACATATATTGATCCTATGGGCACTGTAACAAAAGCAAAGTCATGTAATAGTGAAATTCATAACTATTTTTTCGTACATAAATCTGCACAAATGTAACAAGCAGGATATAAGGAAATGTTAAGAAAGCAGAATGTGAGATACAAGCCCTTTAAATGCTTTGGATGTCTGGTTCTCATTATCACTACTGTGAACAATTCTGAGTAAGTTTCTCTAGAACAGAACATTTGACATCACACCACCCTGAAGGATTTTAACTATTGTCTTAACAGTTTAATTTTGTATAAATATTGGTGGAAATCCCCTTTAACTAGCTCTCCATCATGCCTCTTTATTCTACACTTTTATAAACCCACTATAGTTTTAATAGAAGTGAGAAGGAAGAGTTGTGACTGGAGTAAACTTACTCACAGGCTAGATAGCACAGTTCACTGTATTATGATCCCAAGTTTCAGGGTTTAACTAATAAACACAGACACATGTATTCAACAAACTACTTTGCATTCAGCAGGATAAATAAACCATACAAAATGTGACTAATTAAAGCAGTGGGTCGTATACTGCATGGTTGCTTTTGCATTCTTTGTATTTGGCCTCCTGGGGAGCGCATGTGCCCACTAATTCAGTCTCTCTCTGAGCTCTGTTGAGTCTGCTGGCTCCATTAGTTTATCCACGGATATTTCTCTCTGACATTTTCTCAGTCTTATTATCATGGTTATGATTAGACACATTTCAATTGCTGCATAACAACAGGGGGGCTGAGGCATTTAGCTAGCCCTGTGTTTGTGTGTGTATGTATTGGCTGTATTCTCTGTCACTGCGTGTATGTATTGTTCTCACAAAGTTGAATTAAGGTGGAACAGAAAGAAGGCGCTGCTTGCCCCCTGTTTTACAGGGTCATTCTGCCGCAGCCTTTTGAGTTCTTATTAAACGTCCACATTATCCAATGATTCATCCAGTTATGACTAATGCCAGTTCAATGTCCTTTGAAAATAAGCCTTTTCATTTTTACATAACTCTTGATTTGTTTCAGGTGTGTCAGCTTCCAGTGTAACAGCCCTCTCCCTCATTAAATAAAAATTCCACCATTTTTTTCTAGATTTCTGTATAATTAAATGGTTAAGAAGTAAACAGTGGTGATAGGAACCAGACGTCTGAAGAGTTTAATGCATCAAAGCATCACAGAAAGTTATGACATGAAATGGTTACAGATGTATGCCTGGTGCCTAAGGCATTGTTTTATGATAGTTTTTAGGGTAAGGTTTTGGCCTAAAACAGTTTATATGCAAAATTTTGGACGCCCATTTTTTTTTAACACATCCTCTACAGAGAGCACACTTAAATATGCATTTTTCTGTATTTTAGTGCTTTATTCCTATGTAGTTTATAGAGAACATCTATATATATATATATATATATATATATATATATATATACATATATATATAAAGTAGGCCATAACTTTTGTGCAGGCCACATTATTTATTTATTAATTATATTTCACTCAGCAAATAAACAGTAATTATGCATTAAAATGTAAATGTAAATTGTAAATATAAACAAACAGGGGTGCCTAAACTTTTGCATGTAGTTGCAGTGTTCGAACGGTTAGATGTCCAAGCAAAGGGTTAGTGACCTCAAGGTTTTACGATTCTTCCCTTTCAGTGAGAACATGACAATACAATGTACAAAATATTTAAATGTGGTATTTCATAATACTGACTCTCTCTCTCTCTCTCTCTCGCTCTCTCTCTCTCTCTAGGATCAGAATGATAACCCTCCTGAATTCAGCCAGCCTTCATATATTGTCAGAATTCCCGAGAACATGGTTGCGGGTACGTTCAATATGATGCTCTAAACTCTAAACTGTAGCAGACAGGCTTTGTTCTCAAGCATGTAACACTATATATGAGGAGAACCTGAGTGATACCACAGGAAAATGCATGGTGGAACTGTGTGATAAAAAGAGTCCTAGCTAGTGGGGAATTTTCAAATTCTGTAATGTTTACTTGCAGAACTAAAAATATGGACTGGCTAAACTAAGAAGTTTGACTTGGGTAACTGCAGAAAACATATGTTCGATATTGACAGTTCTTTATGTTCGACACTGATTTTCAAACTTTGGGACACATTTAGTTTAAAACAATGGGATCTAACTGCTCATCATGTGGCCATGAGGGACAGGGATTCAGGCTCACTTTCTGCTTTAAAATGTAGGGGTGTGGCTAAAATAAGGCTAAGCCTCTAGACTAAAATTCTTTGTGTTTAAGTAGTGGCATGAAAACGTGGGGACAGCATTATTTTTAAATAACATTTTTTTTAAAACATCAAACTTAAGATAAATCTAAATCTTTCATTTTCGCTGTAAAGGAGATAAAAAATGATAGAAAAGGAAAAAAAATACAAAAATACCCTGTAAATGATGACTTTGTACATAGTAAGCTTATTACTATCTCTATGAATGCCTTGGGTTTAAATATATTATTTATTTAATTGCAAGTTTGCAGTTTAAACTAATTTGGTAGAATTGTTGGTGTATTAATGGGGAATATTATGCTCATTTTCAATATTCCTAATTTTATTTTTGGGATCTACGAACATGCTTCAATTTTCCAAAAACACATTATTTTAATCATATTGTACATCTCTTCTGTCATGCCTCTTGATGAGCCCTGTGTGCTCAACCACTCTGGTCTGATTGGCCCACCGCCATAGCGGTTCTGCACGTACACATACCGGCCATCTTGCAGTTTGCAGATAAACTCCTCCGTCCTGAGCAACTGTAAACACTGGTGTGGCTATTTTTCCGATGACGTTTGTTTTACCGTATCAGTTTGACACAGCGTCCAATCCTGAAAGTCAGGTCAGCATCTTCTCATGGTTACAAAACTGAACAAACTCTTCGCGGCCTCCAGTAGTTGCTGTGCGTTGTTGCGCCAAGCTTGCTAGTAGGTGGGCAATAAGAATTGTGTTACAAGATTGTGTCATCTTGTAACAAAAGAAAAGGGCTGGAATTCCAGCAAGGCATTTCAGGCGGCTGAGAAAAGTGGTTTCTGTGGGAGAGAGTTACTCTCTCTGGAGTGCACTTTGAGCTTTGTAACTTTGCAGACCATTTACATACACAAAAAACAGAAAAGCATAATAGCTCCCCTTTAATAACAGCAAAGCGATAGTAAGAACTCTCTGCTTGTGAAGTATAACCATGTCACATCAAGGATTCACAAAAGAGTGAGATATATTGTAATCTTAATATGTAGTCATATAATCGCAGTATGGATGAGTACATTTTATCCAGCTCTACAACAGCCTGATTAAACAAATCTGGCATCACTACAGCTGCAGTTTTACAACCATAAGCTCATTGTGTGCAATCACAAAGGCCATTTCTGGGCAAACAAGAAGTTTCACCATAAGGTTTTTTTTCAAGGGCTATTATGTCGTTGTTTCTTCCCTCATTGTCCACTAATGCTTTCACATGGATCTTCCTCACTTCTCCCATTTCACCCTTGTTCTAGGCAGCTGTGCGCATTTGCATGGCCATTGTTTCATCATGAATTAGAGAGTCGTGGTGGAAAGTCCTATCGATTTGAATCTAGCTTTATTTTATTTATTTGTTTTCCTCGGAAGGAGGCAGCACTTAGATTTGCTGCACGCTTCTTGAAATAAACAGCGCCTTCCCTCCAGCCTCTTCCAGCATCAGGCATGATTGCAGAGTGTCGTATAAAAATCGCTGGCTTTGCCACCCAAATTTAGAGCTACTGTATAATAATCTTTACACCAAGCTCCCTTTACCTTAATTCATTTTCCCTCTCCTCACACTCAGCACAGCATAATGCTGCTCGAGTTTGTTGGTGTCCCTTTTGTTGGCCCTCAGCACCGACGTCGCTTCATTTCCATCATCTTATTTTGTATTGCTGTTTTTAAGTGTTGTGGCGAGACGCCTGCAGAGACTGAGTGTCCAGCGCAGAGAGAGATTCTCGTCATTCATATGCATTTATTCGCTCTATGCTTTTGTCCCAGACAATAGCTTTCTCTTCAATTGCCTGAGAAAATTACACTCACGCTGCCCAATGTCTGTCAGAGTGGCACGAGTATGTGTGTGTGTGTGTGTTTGAGGGGTTGGTGTGTGTGTGTGTGTATGAGAATCAGTAGAACATATTATAAGTGGTGGCCCTTTTGTACTTTATCTGATACGACTGCATTGTAAACCTAATTTCTAAAGATCTGCATACTACACAAACACCAGTTTTCATTCATGAAACAGTTTAATATACAGTGGGGTCCACATGTCTGAGCCTACTAGGGAAAATGGTTCTATTTTGCATTCCTTTCTAATTTAATAGATTTGAATTTCCACCTGAGAATCATCTGAGCATCTGTTTCAATGGAGGAGATAAGACTAAAACTAAAAGACTTAAGACTTTGAGTAGTGACAGAGAAATAGTACAGAGCCCTGAAGGGACGTGGTGTATTTTTTATTTATTTATTAATTTTTTTAGGTGAAAGGGACGTGGTGTATATGTTTTTTAGGTAAAATCTGGTGCACACCACATACTATCAGGTGTATATATATATATATATATATATATATATATATATATATACACATACATACATACATCATATATATATATATGTACACAGACACACACACATGATTCCATTCGCTGGGTTACTTTCCATGTCGGAAAAGTGAATGGAGCACAGATAGTTTCACCACCTTATTCAGCAGCTGGGACTTTATGAGAGTTTTCACGTAACTTGTAGCTAATTATGTCTAGCAAAGGCAGCCTACATTTAGCTATATAGATATTAGCTATATAACCACATGGTATCTGGTGCGCACCACACTTTTACCTAAAAAAAAGACATCACGTCCCTTTTACCATAATACAGTACAGAATCTTGAATAATTTTCTTATTTTTACTTGTTGTAACTTCCATTTGTTTACATTGTTTTCAAGTTTGTGTCCAGTGTGAGTGTAAACCTGCACTGAACATGTTTAGCCAAATAATGAATTAAATGTGAGTTTGTTTGTTGTTGCTTTGTTTTCGGAGGTCGTGGTTTTGCAGTGTGTTTGTGTTGTAGAAGTGTGATGTTGTGTTGGGTCTTTAGTTTGGACACTGTAAGCCTCAATTGAGCAGAGCTGTGGAGCTGTGGAGCCTGTTCCTCTGTGTGATGAGTTCTGTGATGATCCTGAAATCTATAAGCGCTCTCCCTGTCCAGCTCATCAATGCAGCTTATAGACCAGATTAAACTCGTCTGTGTGTTTGTCCAGAGAGCATCACTCCGTCTTCAGCCTCTTTCTGCCTCACTTGATTTGTTATCTCTCTTATCTTCTGCTGTTATTGGCTTCACTCTCATAAGCTCATTACCACTTAGAACGATTGTACAGTAATTGTTCTCTCTTTCTCTCTCTCTCTCTCTCTCACTCTCTCTCACACTCTTTCTCTCTTTCTGTTTCTTTCTTTCACCCCTCCATTTCACTATCTTTCTTTCTTTCTTTCTTACTTTCTTTCTTTCTTACTTTATTTCTCTCTTTCTGTCTCTGTCCTTTCTTCTTTCTTCTTCATTTCTTTCTTTCTTTCTTACTTTATCTCTCTCTTTCTGTCTCTGACCTTTCTTCTTTCTTCCTCATTTCTTTCTTTCTTTCTCCCATCTCTCTCTGTCATTTCACTCTTTCTTTCTTTCTTTCTTTCTGTTTACTTTCTCTCTCTCTCTCTCTCTCTCTCTCTCTCTCTCAGGGGCAACGGTGTTGTTTGTGACGGCCACAGATCTAGATGCATCGAGAGAATTTGGCCAGGCTTCTCTGATCTACTCCCTCCAGGGACCCTCTGAGTTCAGACTCAACACACGCTCGGGTAACACACACACACACACACACACACACACACACACACACACACTGATTGGGTAGTTTATTGGGCTGGTGCAAGTGTATCAGACACAGCTGTGTTGTTTACAGCAGTGCCACTGTTAGGCTGACAGTGGTCGATCAGCCAAAAATATCCAGTCAAGAGTGGCTCTGAGGTCAGAAACTGTGCATTGATGAAGAGCAAGAGAATGACTAACACAAACAGCGAATCAACAGATGAGCTACAGCTGACTGTACACCAGCAAGCTTGGAGCTACAATATAGGGCAGAGATGCCCCTCCTGGTCCTGAAGATCTACCACTCTCAAGAGTTTAGATTCAGCACACCTGGCTATAAGATTCAAATGCCCCTCCTGGTCCTGAAAATCTACCACTCTCGAGTTTAGATTCAGCACACCTGGCTATAAGATTCATGTGTGTGTGTGTGTGTGTGTGTGTGTGTGTGTGTGTGTGTGCGCTTGTGCAGGAGAGATTACCACCACAGCCCTGCTGGATCGTGAGGTGAAATCTGAGTACATCCTGATTGTGCGAGCAGTGGACGGAGGGGTGGGGCCTCTGCAGAAGACGGGCATCGCAACGGTAACAGCTGACTTACTCACTATGAAACACGCTCTTTACTCTTTGCTCTTTTACTCTTTTCCTCCTATTCTTTAACACAAATTTAAACAGATTGGTTTAAAGTTGTGCTATATTATTATAGTTCTGTATCAAGTTTGATGCAGTCGTTGCTCTGACAGAGTGTATTAACTTCCAGATATCTTCATGAAACTACACCAGGAAATAAACATAGATCAGCTGACTTTACTGACCCACACTTGATGACCTTGACCTGTTTTTAAAGGTCATAGCCATCTAATTAAACAACTTAAATTGGCATCACCATTAAAATACAGACTAATGGCAGGGATCAAGGCTTGAGTGACTCAGCAGTGCCTCAGACTCGAGAGTCACAACCCATAAAATTTCATCCTGAGAAAAAAAACATGAACAAAACTGATGAAATTAGGACCACCAATTTTAATATGTTCAATGAATAAAGCCATTCTTTCCAAACTTAAGTGTGTGATTTTGCCTGTCAATTTTGCTTCAGTCATGCACAGCCATTACCTCAAAGCTGTCATGGATCAAATAACTAATTTTTCATTATGGAAAAACTCTAGAATGAAAAAGAGGCAAAACTAGGGCTGGAGGTCGATCAATAAAAAGAGTCAATTCTAAGATTTCAGGCATTTGGGAGTCAAGAGTCGACTTCAAAGCTTTGGACTCGATTCCACGCAGAGACAGAAAGATGTCCAGTTTTCCTTACCTGTGCACTTACAATCAAACAACTAAACATCTGCCAACCTAAATAATTGGCAGAGCAGAATCAGAATCAGTTGTAATTGTAATATATTGATTCATCACAACACTCATCTTTGTGTTTCAATTGTGATTGGTCAACATGATCACGACACACAGTAAAAAACGTTCTGTTGGGCTCATTTCCATTCTGTTTTCTGCATGATCAGTATTGAAAATGCCAGTATCACAATGAGTGTGTTTACATGCACTTAATAATCCGATAACTGCAGAACATCACGTTTTGTCAGTAATCAGATCAATGTGTTTATATTCACTTGTGTAATCAGATAATGTGAAAACTCCGGGTCAACGTAAGTCAGACAGTAATTGGATTTCTGCTTTACAGCCATCCAGTAAACTCACACGTTCACTGACGTAAACATAATGTAAACTTAAACTTCAGGCCGCGGCTTTAAAAAAAAAAAAGAGCATCGTGCCACTTTACCTGAAAATATAAACATACATCATCTAGAAGATGAAGAATATTTAAATCCCTCATTTTGTCAAGCATGTAATTGGTTTCAACGTTGCTCCAAAAGTGTTTTTCTGCCATCTCGCGGCAACGCTGCTTACTTACTTCCGGTCTGTTTTCGGACATGCGCAGACTGAGAAAAATGAAAGAAATCAGAGTAAGAGTTTACATGTGCTGAGAAATCTGATTACTGAGCTAAAATCCTGCTTTCTTTATCGGATTTCTAGATCGGAGTATGCTCTTTACATGACCATTTGAATAATCAGATAACTGCAGAAATCTGATTATGATCAGATGTAAGCTGATTAATAAGCAGTTTATTGTGCAGCACTTGTTTATAACACCTCACAATTGCAACAAGCCCATTTTCTTAGACTACAGTGTTCCTACAGATATGAAAATGAATCTGTACCTATAAGTCACTGTCAGCATGCATTAAACATTACCAGAGATATTAAAGACAATGTTTTTTCTCTTTTCTAGTCCACCTTATTGTGCCCTATTGACATTACTACAAAGATAAGAGTATTTAAAATTCTGCAAATCCCTTTCTGATCTATTAGTGTTCAAGTGCTCTCATCATCTCCCACTGTCATGTCTTTATTATTCATAACAGAACAGAAACTTTGTCCGTTTTTTCCCTGTTCTTAATAATCATTCATATATGCTGTTATTTCTAACTGGAGTTTTGTTTTTCCCCTCAGGTGAACATAACTATACTGGACATTAACGATAATGCCCCCATCTGGCAGGACGAGCCCTATCTGGCTAACGTTGTGGAAATGAGTCCGATCAATACTGATGTCATCTCTGTGAGTATCCCGATGCTGTCCAAAGTCCAGTCCAGCTCTGTTGGACTGAATGACCATTTGACACAAGTTACACTGCTGAACTCTAAAGCACTTTTGTAAGCTATCTGACTGGATGATATGTGGGAAAAAGTATTTTAAGTTTCCACAGATAGCCTGGATTAAAAGCCTGAATGCCCATCATTTACTTCACCATTGATTTGTTCCAAATCATTTGGAACATTTACCAGTGGCAAACCATGACTTTTAGAGCTATTAGGCCTGCAATCTGGGCCATAAATGTAAAAAAGGCCTCTGCCATAATGCTAAATCTACACTATCTCCTCTAAGGGATTTGTGTATTATATTGAACTGTTAATGGTATGTTATCACATTGCCTTTTGAAGCTTGTATAAATAATATTCAGTATCTTTTTGAAGCTTATAATAGACATTAAAATGCATTTTACCTTGTATTTTGCAGTTTTCAGCAACGACTCCCGAAGTAGAACCAGTGGCATGTTTGATTTCAGAAACTGATGGGTTAGGCTACTGCTGGTGTTTGCAGTGATGTATCTAGGATTTCCAGAAGGCCTAGAGTGACATTTTCTCAAAACATTGGTCACACCTATTGTAAATTAATATGTGATTAGTTTGATCAATAATCCCTAATTACACTCATCGAGAACTTTATTAGGAACACCTGTACACCTACTCCTTTATGCAATTAACTAATTAGCCAATCACGTGGCAGCAGTGCAGTGCATAAAATCATGTTGACGCAGACCAGCAGCTTCAGGTAATGTTTACATCAAGCATCAGAATGGGGAAAAAATCTTATTTCAGTGATTTTGGACTGTGGAATGGCTGTTGGTGCCACACAGGCCGGTTTAAGTATTACTACAACTGCTGATCTGAGTTTCATGCACAACAGTCTCTAGAGTTTACAATGGTACAATAAAGAAAAACCTCCAGTGGGCAGTTCTGCAGACAGGAAGGCCTTGTTGATGAGAGAGGTCAACGGAGAATGGCCAGTCTGGTTCGAGCTGGCAGAAAGACTATGATAACTCATATGACCACTCTGTACAATTGTAGTGAGCAGAAAAGCATCTCAGAATGTACAACACTTTCACCTTAGAGTTGAATGGGCCACAACAGCAGAAGACCATAACGGGTTCCACTTCTGTCAGCCAAGAACAGAAGGCTGAGGCTGCAGCGGGCAGTGGCTCGTCAAAACTGGACATCTGAAGGCTGGAAAAACACAGCCTGGTTTGATGAATCTTAATTTCTGCTGAGGCACACAAATGGTAGGGTCAGAATTTGGCAGTAACAGCAGGAATCTATGGACCCAACCTGCCTTGTGTTAACAGTCTAGGCTGGCGGAGGTGGTGTAATGGTGTGGGGAATGTTTTCTTGGCACTCTTTGGGCCTGTTAATAAATACCAATCTATCTCCGCTTGAATGCCCCAGCTTTTTTGAGTATTGTTGCTGACCATATGCATCCCTTCATGGCCACAATTTAGCCATCTTCTAACAGCTACTTCTAGCATGGTAATGCACCATGTCACAAATAAAAGTCATGTCGAAGGGTTTCATGACAATGAGTTCAGTGTTCTTAAGTGGCCTACCTAGCCACTAGACCTGAATCCGATAGAACATCTTTGTGATGTGGCAGAATGGTAAGAACGGGAGATTCGTAGTATGAAAGTGCACCTGTAACATCTATAGAAACTGCATGATGCAATCATGTCCACATGTACCAGAATCTCAAAGGAATGTTTCCAATATCTTGTGGAATCCATGCCATGAAGAACTGAAGCTGTTATGAGTGCAAAGGGGGGCCCTTCCTAGTATTAGTATAGTATAGTTAAGTGTAGTTCCTGAAGGCCTAAAAAAATGGAAGAATTTGCTTGGGATTTTCACCTAGACACCATAGAAAAAATAGTGATTGGACAGTTTTATGTCAAAAATTAATTTCCAAAACTTAATAAGTCAATAATGAAAATAAGAGTATCACTGCAATACTTGCAGAGTAAACACAACAAACATGATACTACTGAATAAAATGAGCAAAACTTTACAGGCGTATTTTTTAATTTTCAGAAATCATCAGGCCTCTCTGAAGGTCTAGAAGGCCCCGAGGGTTCCCCACTGACATTTACCCTATTTAACTTCACATGTACAGAGCATAAGTCTGAGTAGTATTAAATATTACAAGAACTATGTTTTGAATTGCATTGTGTGCTTGGAGTGTTTTTAGAAGTTCTTGCTTACTTGAGGGCAAACACTTGCTGCTTGTAAATGTTTACATGCTTAAACCTCTCCGCCCTTCATCCTGTCCTGTCGTCGGTGTATATTTGCTAATTAAGCCCCTGAATGTCCATTAATTAACGAGCCAGCGCCAGGCTTAATTAAGGGGTTCCAATGACTAATTAAAACATAGCCCCGAGTCGGAATGCATAGGTAATTACCCTGCTGAATGTGCAGTGCAAGAGAGAGAAACCTTTTGTCTTATAAACACTCAGTAACAGGGTGCTTGTGTATGTATGACAGACAAAATATGACTTATCATATCTTGATGAAGAATCATTCTTTTTCTCAGTAAGTGTGCTCAGAGTGGTCAACTCCACCCTTCTGATCTGATTGGCCAGCAGACTTGAATTGTGCAAAATAATTAGGCCGCTAATTGCCGGCTTTTGCCGGTTTCTATGGTGATCTGTAACGTCCCGCGGCGATGGCGCAATGGTGTCCCACCGGCCAGGTGAAATCGCTTTCATTCCTCATGGCAAGGCTAGACAAGAAAGCGGGAGAGACGGAGGAAAAGAAAGAAAGAGAAAAGAAGCCCGAGGGCCTTTATTAACTCTAATTTACTGCTGCCTCACTTACTTTACCGGCTCTTTTGGACAGGCTTTTCTATTAATTTGCTTGTATACTTTAGTGCACAGATGGGTTTCATTCATGTTTATATTTAAGTATGTGAACCAGTTTGCGCTTTGTTCATTCATATATTTTAGTGTACAAATGGGTTTACTGTTCAGTGAGTGCGTTTACGTGCACTTAATAATCCGATAATTGCAGCCAATTTTGTCAGTAATCCGATTAACGCGTTTACATGCACTTGAGAAATCAGGTAATAGGGAAACTCCAGGTCTAGATGAGTCAGGCAATAATTGGATTTCTGCTTTGCAACTGGCCAATAAACTCACAGAATAAGGTGTGAAGTAAACGTAACGTAAAACTCAAACTTCATGTAGCAGCTTTTAAAAAAAAACACTTTACGTGAAGTATGAACACATATCATCAAAAAGGTGAAGAGTATTTAAATCCTTCATTTCATCAATCATGTATTTGGTTTCAACGTTGCTCCCAAAGTGTTTTGCTGTCATCTTGCGGCAACGCTGCTTGCTTATTTCTGGTGCTGCCGTCTGTGGGCGCACATGAGCAGACTGAGAAATCCGAAAGAAATCTGAGTAAGAGTTTACATGCACTGAGAAATCTGATTACTGTGTGAAAATCTGACCCTGTTTATCAGATCTGAGTATGCTGTTTACATTACCATTTGAATAATCAGATAACTGCAGAAATCTGATTATGATCAGATTATCGAGTGCATGTAGATGCACTCAATGACAGGTCACTTTATTAGGAACACCTGTACACCTACTCAGTAATGCAATTACCCAATAAGCCAATCATTTAGCAGCAGGATAATGCCCGAGATCATGCAAGAGCTTAAGTTAATGTTCACATCAGACATTATATTGGAGAAAAATGTGATCTAAGTGACGTAGATGTTGACCGTGGCATGCTTGTTGGTGCCAGATGGGTTGCAGTAACTTGAATGCCCACTCTTCACAACAGTGGTGATCAGAAAAGCTTCTCTGAATGCACAGCTGAACTTTAAAGTGGATGGGCTGCAACAGAAAAAACCATGATGGGTTCCACTCCTGTCAGCAAAGAACAGGAACCTGTGGCTACAGTGGGCAAAGGCTCACCCGAAGTGGACAGGTCATTTCATCTGTTCCAACATGCAGATTGGAAGATTAGAATTCGGTGTGAACAGCATGAATCTATAGACCCAACGTTCCTTGTGTCAGCAGTTGGTGGTGGTGTAATGTTTTCTTGGCACACATGGACTGGAGCAACAATCTGGACTGTCTAGGGGTCCCTGAAGACTATTTTGAGAACCACTGCAATAGAGCACCTTTGGGATATGATAGAACAGGAGATTTGCAACATGCATGTGGAAGAATGGAGTGTTTCCAGCATCTTGTTGACTCTGTAACACAAAAGTTTCAGGCTGTTTTGAGAGCTACCCGGTATTAGAGAGCTGCTCCAAATAAAGCGGCTGGTGAGTGCATATTTTAGCTATTTTAGTAGGTGTCGTAAAGGGAGTAAAGGGCATCGTAAAGAGGATTTTATAAAAAATAAAAGACCCGATCTCCAGGCTATCTGTGTGTGGGTGGAGAGTGGAGTATTGTAATTAGGCTCATATCGATTGGGTGAACCTTAAAATGATCCGCTCCTCACTGCTGCTTGTAAGAGCATGATCTACATTTACCCACATGCTCGCTCTCTCTCTCTCTCTCTCTCTCTCTCTCTCTCTCTCTCTCTCTCTCTCTCCCTCTGCAGTCAATGAAGCACAGAGACGTCTTGGCATCCGTTTCTCAATAATTAAAGACCTGAAGGCCCCTTTGTTCCTCTAATGACCAATTAAGCCATTTCCAACATTTCTTCATCAGTGTTGTGAATAATTGATCGGCTCTTTTAAAGAAAAAAACACGTCGGGTTCGAGGCAGAATAAATCTCCCGCGGTGCCATTGTGGTGGGAATGGACGGTGTGATGTCATTTGCCACCCACCTGTGAACAGCGTGTGTGTGGTGTGTGGTGAAAATGTGAGATGTTTTCAGTCCTAAGGCTTGTTTTTTCTCACCAGAGTTTCTCTCTCTCTCTCTCTCTCTCTCTCTCTCTCTCTCTCTCTCTCTGTCTCTATCCCTCTTATTTTTTTCTTTCTCAATCTTTTTTCTCTCTCTCTTATTCTCTCTCACTCTTTTGCTTCCTCTTTGTCTTTCTCTCTCTCTCTCTCTCTCTCTCTCTTTGTTTATTTATCTGGTCTCTGTCTGTCTCTCTCTCTCCTCATTCTTTTTCTCTTTCCCAATGTCTCTCTATCTTTCTTTTTTTGCAATTTCTCTTTGTCACCCACCTTGTCTCAATGTTTCATTTTTCTTCCTCTTTTTCCTACTCTCTCTCTCTCTCTCTCTCTCTCTCTCTCTCTCTCTCTCTCTCTCTCTCTATAGGTGCTGGCGTTGGACCCTGATAATGGAGAGAATGGTACAGTCACGTACAGCATCAGTCCAGCCAACCCCTTCTACATCATCAACAACCGGACAGGCAAAATCCGCACCAGTGGGGCCATTCTGGACAGAGAGAGTCTGGACCCCAGAGCCACTCAGCTCATGAGGACCATCGTCATCTCGGCCACTGACCGTGAGTAGCTCCACTCTGCTGCCAACATTTCGAGAGAGAGAGAGAGAGAGAGAGACATACAGAGACAGAATCAGCTAAATTCAGTGCACTCCTTTCTCAGTATGAAACACATTTCTTTCAAAGCAATGACTTCAAATAAAACCAAATTTACACATTTTTCTATGCTGAATAAACATTACCTTGAATTCACATTATTCAAATGTGTCAAGTAGTTGCGCATGAGCAAAATGCATTACATCGACACAGTTCTAAAGGAACTAAACTGAAAGATGTATTGATTTAGAGTTTTTTATTCATGTGCAACCACTTGACACATTTGAATCACATAAATTCTAAGCACTGTTCTGTTTTCAGTGTAGTTAGTGTAGTGCAGTGTAGTGTACTTTAGCACAGTGCATGCCTAAATCAGAGCACTCTTGTGTCAAAACACATCAAAATGTTTAAGTAATCTCAAACAAACAGACAAAATTCAGTCTTTGAGGTGCTTGTTTTTAAGCATTTGACATACTTTTGCCCATATTTATAGATAACAGTCATACAGTGTCAGAAAGCACATAAGCAAGTCTAACAGAGAATAATGAACACGTCAACAGGTATAATGATTTATGCATGCTGTTTGCACCATGCTAATTGAAGTATAAGCTTTCATTAATTTAACTACATTAGCCTCGAGGCTATAGAAACTTTGGACACCAAACGTCTGACAGTTATTGCGGTAAGGAGAAATACTTTTAGGCCATGACTGCTTTAATATCTGTCTCTCTTTCTGCTTGTTGTATCTGGTTGTGTGTGTTTTCTCCAGCTGTCTGTTTGTTTTGTTCCCTGTCTGCTTTACTTTATCATTGTGTGCTAGTAGACATAGTGGCTGCTCTTGTGCACTCAGAGCCTTAAATGACATCTTTCTCCATGGTTAACGATTCTTTCCTCTTGAGAGGATCTAAAGACTAAAGTAAAGTCATGGAAGTTTGCCTTCATGCCCAAGTTGGTGCTCACGGCTCTGCTGCCCTCTTCAGGTGGAAACCCGCCACTGCGTTCTTCAGCCAGCACCACGGTCTACGTCAACCTGCTGGACCTCAATGACAACGACCCTGCCTTCCTCAACCTGCCGTTTGTCGCTGAGGTCCCAGAGGGCCTTCCTATTGGATCATCCGTCTTCAGGGTTGGTTTAAATGACCTGAGCTTGAACCTTGATCAAGTACATTCAGAGAAAGAGATGAATTTGGTTTAGCCTGTATTACTTAAGACCAGAGGTCTTCAAAGAGGCCTTGAATTCATTTAGTTTCCAGCTGTGGAAGTTACCAGTTAGCAGTTAGTGGACAATCTATTTACATCAACAGTTTTATTAACTATTAGTGAGTACAGGTGAATCCAGGGCTGGAAACTGGATTTAAAGTTTAAAGATCTCAGCTTTAGACTGATCTCTACTACAGAAACTGCTCATTATTTTCTCTCAAAACTTCAATATAACTTGCGAAAGAGCTTTTATCCTCATACTTTTGGTTCCTGAGCCAAAAAATGGCTATTTCTGCCTTTTAATCTCCTTTTTTTACTTTGAAATGTAAAGAACAAAGCCTAAAATGTGTAGATTTTTATTTGTGTCACAAGCTATTATTTTGAATTTGTAAACATATAGAAATATACTATAGCCATGTTTTACTGGCATCAGTAATAAACCCTTAGAAATGTCAGCTACGTTCTAAATAAGACAGCATGGAACAACTTTTACACAGGGATAGAAAACATAGTAGCACATAGAAAGCAAACAGCATCATTTATTAATATAAATAAATGCATCTCCACAGCAAGGATAATTCCAAGTGGAAGTGGCTAGAGAACACAAGCGTGGGCTAACCAGCACTTCTAACTTGCTTGCATTAGAATCACACCAAATAACATTACATGACATTAAACTCAAACATATGAGGCTTTCTGTTGCCCCTGGTGATTTTAGTTTCAGTGCTCTTGTTTATACTATTTTCTTAATGTTTATTATTGTACTGTTATTGCTGCAAGACTGTGCTTTGTATTTTTTTCTTTACTATAACTGCACTGCAGTTAGACGCTGTGTGAACTGTCTAGAAATCTAATCCAACTCAACCTAATGTGATGTAATCTGGGTTCCCACAGGTGCAGGTGCAAGACCCTGATGAAGCGGAGAATGGAGCGGTCACGCTGGGGCTGCAGGTGGGCATGCCCCGGCTGGACTTCCGCCTTAACAGCAGCACAGGGGTGCTGTTCTCCACAGCCGCACTGGACCGTGAGCAGATCGGACAGTACTACCTGAGGCTGGTGGCCTTCGACGCTGGACAGTACCCCCGCACCTCCACCAGCACCCTTACAATCACAGGTAACTGGACAGCGAGGGCAGTGGAGTGGTACAGTTTTGTTGGGAGGCCTTTCTACATGGACATTTATTTATAATAAATTGACAGTTCACCAAAAGGATTCCCTGTATCCCAACTGTATTCGACCAGCTAAGAAATGTTCTCCGACTTTTGCTTCTTAGCTCTTTTTGTGCATCTATCTTTTGTCCATCTAGTCAGTGATGTTTGGATAGACAGATATACTTTGTAAGGCCACACATTCCGTTACCTAAAACTTGAGTAAAAGAAAATATCAATAAAAATTTAGTACCATACACTGTAGGGGTGGGGGAGACATTGATTCTTAGATGCATTGCGATGCGGACGTGGACGATTCTGAATCGGTTCACAAATGTCAAAAATCAATTTTCTAAGTATTTAATTTATAACGTAATGTTGACGGAATGCAAAAGGCGGAACTTGGAAGTGCAGAAGTGCAGCGCCTGGACAGTCTGTGAGGTGCACATAACAAAAACACAACTGGATGAGCGAGAAATCCGACCAGCACCCTCTGCATTAAAAGCTAGGTTAGGTCAGGAGGCGACAATCCAAATGTTAAGAAGAGCCATTTTGACCTTTCAACAAAAATCAAACCACCTTGGGAGCCACAACATTTAATGTCTAGTATTTCTCAGTATGTAATAATGTTGTAGTATAGGCTAAACAATATAAACGAAAACACAGACTTACTTTGCTCTGCCGCTTTCCTTCCATCTCCGCCAGAAAACTTTTCTTCACAAGTAGAACAGCTTATTATAAAATGTCTCACAACGTTCGACTGTTTTACAAGGATGAAGTCGCTTCTCATTCTCCAGCTTCTTGTTCAAATTTTCCCGTTCCACCATAAATTCTGCCTGAGGCACCAGAAGGTAAATGCGGCACCATTTAAGGTGGCCTGGGAAAATTAGAAAGAGAAGCTGACTTCATCTTTGCAACTTTTTAGTGTTTGACAGTCTCTCGTTGGAGATTTAAGTCCATTCGTCTCCAAATGTTCGTCTCCAAATCTTTCTTTTTGCCTTTTTGTTCGCTATTAGCTAGGCGAGACTGTGTTGCTAGGTGATCTGCAGTCTGAAAAGGGACCTGAATAAGAGCCATACTATAGGCAAGTTGTGTCACACTGAACTAAAATATTTTGGAAACGACAAAACATGAGAAACCAAATTACATGTTTCCACCCGTTTTCCTACCATTCATACTTGCTGCCAACCAGAGGACCTTAGAGCAAGCGATGTCAAAGCCTCCACCCAAGTCAGAGGCGAATTACAAACTCTATCGCAACTTTTATTACGAAGGATTTATCTCGAAGATATTTTTACACAGCGACCCCCCCGACTCTCTACAACGAGACCAAAACCGAGCATGTGCTGTGTGGACATTCATTGCCACAAAATCTTATGTCACCATAACTGCATTTTATCGCAGTTGAGTGGCAGCCTGCATCTCATGTGCTCCAAACAAGAGCAGTGAATGAGAGCCTTCCAGTTCACTTACCACATCACTTCCATTTGTTTTATTGATAAAAGATATTGGAAGTAAATTTGTTATGGATCATTACAAATAATTTGCTTTGAAAGAACCAAGTCCTCACACAGTGAGAAAATAGAAATCCTGTATAGAAAAAAAGATGCATCAAGATGCATCGATAATCGGTTTATAATCACATCGCAGCCCTCTGAATCGTAATTGAATCGAATTGTGAGGTGCCTAGAGATTCCCACCCCTAATACACTGCAAGCCAGTGTAATACTATGAATATAGCATTTAATTATTGTACATAAGTGCTTTCATTTATGTATTGTGTGAAAATTAATTTATCATAAGAACTATGTATTACATAATGGATCTCAAACCTAATTTGTTGGAGTCGAACAGACACTATTACCACAAATTAGGATGTTACAGACTAACTGACCTGCAAGTTATATGTTAAAGGGGAATCCCACCACTTTTTTAAAATACCTGCATAATTAAATAGTTAAGGTGTTTACAAAGTCATTCAGAGTTCTGTTATGTTCTGGAAAAACTATCGACTCAGAACGGTTTACAGTGGTGGGGATAGGAACCAGACATCTAAAGAGTGTAATGCCTCTGAAAACTACCTCACAAAAAGTTATTACATGAAATGGTTATGAATATGCTGCCTGGTTTCTGAGACAATGAGTACAGTCTGATAATTGCAGAAAATAAGATTTTGTCAGTAACACGATCAACGTGTTTATTTGCACTTGAGTGATCAGATAACGGGGAAACTCCAGGTCTACATGAGTTGGGCAGTAATCAGATTTCTGCTTTGCAACCAGCCAATAAACTCACAGAAGAAGACATAAACTTCATGCTGCATCTTTTTTAAAAAAAAAAAAACATCGCACCACTTCACCTGAAAATATGAACACATCGCTCCAAAAGTCTTTTGCTGCCATCTCACGGCAAAGCTGCCTTATTGTCTGGTACAGCAGTCTGTTCTGCACATGCTCAGACTGAGAAATCCGAAAGAAATCAGAGTAAGCGTATATATGCACTGAGAAATCTGATTACTAGGCTAGAATCCAGATCTGTTTATCGGATTTCATAATCGGATTTCTAGATCGGAGTGTGGTGTTTACATGATCATTTAAATAATTGGATAACTGCAGAAATTGTGTCAGAAATAGTTGTGCCATAAGCTTTTGATCTAAAATGTACTTTTTTTAATCCATTCATGATGGTGTGGTACATGCAGGATGTAGTAAAGCAAGATACTACTCAAAGAAAACTGCTGTCATTGCTCTCTGTGGTGAACAGTAAATTGTTCTCTTCGCAGTCGGGGTTGCACAACTTCAAACTGTTCCTTTACGAGTAAAAAAAAAGTCAACTTTTCCATTAGTTCATTGTTAATGCACTTCTAGTATGCATTTAAAAAAAAAATAGAATAAAACATATTCCAGACTCTCTCTCTCTCTCTCTCTCTCTCTCTCTGTCTCTCCCTCTCTCTCTCTCTCTCTCTCTCTCTCTCTCCAGTGTTGGATGTTAATGATGAGACGCCCACGTTTTTCCCACGTGTGTATAACGTCTCAGTGCTGGAGAGTGTCCCGCGTGATTTTGTGGTGGTTAGGCTCAACTGCTCTGATAATGATGCCGGACTCAACGCCGAGCTCAGCTACTTCATCACAGGTCAGACTGCTGAGGCCTGAACTGCCCAAGACAGGCTTACACTGTGTGTGCAGTACATAATAAACAACATCATTGTGTATAAACGTGTTGTTGTGTTTGCTTTGTGTTGTATATATTGCCAGCAAATCTTTATGATTTTTTTTAAATTAAACCAGAGTTAGATCCGATCTTGCAGTGTGATGGCTGAGAGACATTTTACAAGAAATAATTGGCACTCTGACACAAGTGTCACTCCACCTTATTAACCTGTAACCTAGCAACGCCTGTCCAGCATATAGACTGTAATAGACTGTTTAATGGAATTCATTTTCATTATTAGACCCTTTAATGGAACAGTCTGTGTGGAATGTAAATTAATTTTCTTGTTTAAGGAAATAATTATAGATATTGTTAATGACATTGGGATATAATTGCAGCCTTTTTTGGGGCAGGGGGTGTATTTTTTCCTTGTTTTCTCCCAAATTTAGTCATTAGCAGTTCTACACACTAGATCGGTCTCCCACAGTCACACAGTGCTACCAAGCTGGGAGGGAGAAGGCTAGCATGTGTCTAGTGACACAACCACAGTTGTCATATTTTATTTTTGATGTTTTATTTTTTTCATGATGTTAAACTCAGTAAATAAAAACAAGTTGTGTAGTAAAATGTGCAGAAAAATGCCACATTATGTGTGTTTCCTGTAGAGGATCTGGTCAGAAAATCAACAAAAAGTTTAATTTGGCTGATATGTTGTTTGGGAAACCACGTCCTACTGTTAACAAAGTGCATTGCATTGCTTAGTAGGAGAATTGTTTATCGTGATTATTATGAATAGTAGAATGAATTATTTGTTGTCTTTGTATAAAAGCAGTAAGTTACTGCAGGCTCTGCATTATTTTACCACATTTAAGCTCAACTGTGCCGACCTGCAAAGCTGAAATGTAATGGAATACTAATATTTAGATACACAGTGTATTCATATACACAAACATATATGAATGTACATGTTCAGGTTGACAAATTAAGTATCTGTATGTATTTATTTATTCATTCTCTTTTAGGAGAATGGAATTTTTAGAATACTGTTAGAATAATTAAATGCTAAAAAACATGTACCGTCTCTGAAATAAACACCATTAATTGTTGTTTAATAATTATTAAACAGTAGACTGATAAATCAATGTGATGATCAGTTATTAATCTCAGTGTTATTGAGCTCTGCTAAAGCCTGAGTACACTGATAAATCAATGTGATGATCAGTTATTAATCTCAGTGTTACTGAGCTCTGCTAAAGCCTGAGGAGACTGATAAATCAATGTGATGATCAGTTATTAATCTCGGTGTTATTGAGCTCTACTAAAGCCTGAGTAGACTGATAAATCAATGTAATAATCAGTTATTAATCTCAGTGTTATTGAGCTCTGCTAAAGCCTGAGTAGACTGATAAATCAATAGGATAGTGTATTCAGTATTCAGCCACCCTCTTGTATTATTATATAATTGTGGAATTGTGTGCAATTAGTGACACCCTCTGTCTTTGTATGTATGCATGCAGGTGGGAACCAGGATGGGAAGTTCAGTGTGGGTTTCAGGAACGGTGTGGTACGCACTGTGGTGGACCTGGACCGCGAAACACAAGCATCGTACACACTCGTCATCGAGGCCATCGGTGAGTCTGCTGTACCTTTATCTGTGGCTGCTGTGATTGAATGTGTTACCTGCTGGTAGAACCTCATAAGGTAGAGACTTATGAGGGTTTTCACAGCTGAGCTCAGGTCATGCGTGCAAGCCTGCAGTGTGAGCAAGCGTAGTGCAACACCTTCACTTCCTGTCTGAGAGAAGCGCGAGTGCCTGAGGTTTCCTGTTTGTAGTGAAACTGTGAAAGCAAATCGGCAGTGCTTCGGCTGCCGTGGTGTGTTTAGCTATTCTGCAGGCTCAGATGTGTACAACTTGTCTGCTAACACCACCTGTCAGACAGACACCTTTACATTGTTTGAGCATCATTCAAATCAATGCCCATTTTTTATGTGTTTTTTGCATGTTACATGTATTGATTTCTGAAGTGAAAAGAAGTTAACACATTCTCTATAGTGAACACACTTAAATTGGGCATTTTTCTGCAAATGTGCTTAATTTCTACGTTTTTTACACTGCAAAAAAATGGTAGCTTGTCAAGTGAGATGATCTTAAATCTAGTTGATAAATCTAATATTTCCCATTTTGAAATTATTGCACTTATTATAAGATTATCTATCTTATTTCTAGACATTTTGTCATTGTTTTATGTAATTTTATCAATTCAAATACTACACTGGCAGATAATTTTGCTGGTTTCAAGCACATTTCTTAAAACAAACCAGATAATTTTACTTAATAAAATTACTTAAAACAAGTAAAAAAAGCCAGAAATGAGGCAGATAATCTTAATTTAAGTCTACAACAATCTAAACAGGAGAAATATTGGATTTATTGACTATTTTTAAGAATATTTTACTTGACAAGATACCATTTTTTACAGCATACCGAGTGAACTTTTGCACAGGTCACATTTTATGTTTATTGTTTTGTGAATGTCAGTTTCAGCAGATAAACATTAATTGTGCATTCAATTTAGAATTATTACTGTGAAAATTCCCAGATGATGTTGCTATGTGAATATAAACAAATAAGATAACCAAAAGCACATTCTACTGTTTAAGTACGTAAAAATATGTTACTTTTTACCCCATACTGGGTTGAGCATCAACTCCACTATTCATTAAAATGACATTTACAACTTTACACAGACAGAATTTCATTGTCAATTTTTGTTTGTGTGTTTTTGATCTGACATATTTCATCAAGCAATGTCCACTCAAAGAATAATGAAACTGAAACTTGTCTGTTTGTCTAGTTTTTAAATGTAGACGTTCTGTTGAACTGTACTGTTGTATTTAAGCCTTGTTTACAGCCAAACGAAAGCAGACACTTCTCAGAGCTCTGATTTTTTGTTTATTTGTTTGCTTTTTTGAATTCAGCTTTACACTCATTCCAGTTTAGCATTGTTCATTGAGTTTTAACCATTTTCTCCATAGATAATGGCCCAGCTGGGGATAGAAAGACAGGCACGGCCACAGTTTATGTGGAAGTGCTGGACGTTAATGACAACAGGCCCATCTTCCTTCAGAACAGCTATGAGACCACCATTCTGGAGAGTGTGCCAAGAGGAACCAGTATACTGCAGGTATACACAGACCACATACACATAAGCTCAAACAATCGTATGCATAAGTTTAGGCATCATATTACATGTTTTGTTAATTTTTAAATGAAAATAGTAAATGTTTTACAGAGAACACACTTTCAATTCACAAATACTGTTTATTTGCTGAATTTAACATACATTTTGTATGTTATTTTTTCTTTTTACTTTATATTTACTTACATATTTAGTTTACCCTCCGTAGAGGATGTGTTTTTTCTCTACATAGGAACCTGACAAAACATTTAATTTGACCGGGGGTGCTAAAACCTTTGCATACAACTGTATAAACATAAATCATACTTTACTATAGGTGCACTCACTTATACAGATCAAAAAAATAAAAAAACAAGTTCAATTACAATGAAAACAAAAACTAAGAATTACCATAGGGTCCCAGCTCAGACCCCTAATTAGAAAACACTATCAAATCTTTATGTAAATCTGCAAATCTAACCACGACACCCTGTACAACCCTGTAATTTCAGTAGTAAGCATAATCTGCCATCACTGACACCCTCATTACAAATGAGACCTTTTTATGTGCACTTGCTACCTCACAGCTTTGAAGTCGAAGTGCACCTGACATTTTGCCTGATAAGGACTTTCCCCGAACAGCTTTATTCTCGTGATACTAAACCGAACAGAAATATGCATGCTGATGCTGAGGGTTCAGTCATTTTTAGTAAGACACAATGAGACACACTTTCACACACACACACAAAAACACTTATGTAATTAAAAAAAGGGTCAGCATCTGCTGTGTACTCTAGTCAGTAGGGCCGCACAATGAAACTGATTTGAATTGTGTCACAGTATGAGGAGGAGGCGTTGGAGGCAGGGTGTAGGTGTGAGTTTTAAAAATAGAATTATTGAGAATTAAGAATTTAAATAGATTTATTAAGAAGTAAGAATTAAAATAGATTTATTAAGAGCCACTAATGATAAAGAAAACACAACACAAACATGGAACAAACTCACAGAGTATTTAACTAACATGAAGATTCAAGGCCAGACAAGGAACACTCAACAAGAGGGCTACTTATACACAAACCACAAACAAGACACAGCTGAAACAAGTGGGACTAGGGGAGTGGTGTGACGCAAGGGCGGAGCAAAGGACGAGAAAAGCAAAACATCAAGATCAAGCACATTGACAAAGAGACAAGAGAGAAGGTAAACAAAAAGGGAAAACATGACGTGGACACAGCTAAGATGGGGAATACATTACAAATTACAATCACAGTTTTGGCAATTAAGCTTAAATTAATTGGCTAATTAGCTGGTCATTATTCACTCTGGTATATAAAAAGGACAATCCAGCCTATATACCATTTAATATGCTGTTTGTCATGTTATATAGTGTTCTGTGGTGCAGCATTTCATTCCTCAGCCTCATTGGCTTGACAGAATTAATGATTTTATATCCTGTTTATGTGTTCATTCATCAGTGTTCCCTCACTACAATCCCCAACATGCATTATGCAAATATATCATGCAACCATTGTGAATCCCACCCTCAGTGATCCACTGATGTATCACTGATGTAGAGGCAAATAAATACAGACGTAAAGTAACATTCGCTGTCTGACCATCTATGTTAGCCAGCTAGCGGAACACTTCAGCCCCCAAAACTTCGCCTCCCTATAGCTGTAGTTTTTTCAAAAGTTCCTCCTACCTTCAAGATACATCATCAGAAGGGATTTAATAAACACTTCATTAATGATCGTACATGAATTATTTTGTCAAACATAATACAGTTTGCTGAATATTTTAATCAAGGAAGTTGAATGATCATGATATGTAATTATATGTAATTATATCACTGTCTCATCAGAGTATGAGAAAGAGCATTTAAAGAGGAATTCCACCAATATTAAAAAATCTACATGATTCAGTCAGATGTAAACAGTCATTCAAAGTAGTTTGATGTGAATCTTTTCATTTTAGAGAAACTTCACTCACAGTGGTGGTGATAGGTATCATAAGCTGTATAACACAAATGTAGCCATTTTATTTACTATTTATGACCAGTGAACCCACACGTGTCTTCTTGTAGTTTTCATATCATTGCTGTCAGAACAAAACCTCGTATCTCCAAAATGGTAACTTTACAGGAGAAGGGAAAAACATACTTTACTTTTAATGTAAGTCAGCGGAACCAGACTTTTTTCCAAGTAATTTTTGGTCATTTCTTTTGGTCCAATCATCAATCATTTTGGTCTACTCATCAATTTTACACACAACGTAAAGACCAACAGGCATTTTCAAATTACATCAAAAACTGAAAAATGACAAAAATGAAGATAAGAGATTTTGTTCCGACAGCAGCGATATATAATGTTGATGATGCCATACATGATGAAGCATGTACGAATGCTTATCTCAAAAATATAAAACAGGCATCAGACAACGTATTTGGGTAATAACTTACATATATATGATATATATATCACCACCACTGTGAACTGTTCTCATTTCAGTGTGACCAATTTCCATCTCACTGATTCAGTTATGCAAAAATTTTGTAGTAAGTGCGTTTAACAACACTGTTTGTATTATTTTTGTAGATACAGATTTCAACATTGAGCAAAATAATTGTACCATTTTAACTATTACTGTGCAGCCCTACTGGTAAGCAGCATACTTCTATACACACTCATGACTTTTTCTCCAGTCATCTAAGCTTTTTATAATTCTAACCACTTAAACTCTCAAACACTTGAGTCTAGAGGGCAGGGCCCGTTAGCACAGCCAGATCTTTCAACTCCAACAACACAGGCTGGAAAACCCCATCAAATGGATGCCCACTGGCACTCCTTCTATCCTGGCAGTCCTCCATTAGCCCAGAGTGCTATTATGCTGGCATGTCTGGGTAGCTCAGTGGGCTGAGCCATTGCCTGTGGAAGGTCAGTTATGGACTTCAACGGTTGCTAGACTCCATAGGTCAGGCTGAGTTGAGGCAACATCCTGTTGGCGATGGCTGAAGTCTAGTCACATGCATGTCCAGTACTGATCCCGTTGTAAAGTGGCCATAATCTTTTGTGGTCAGGATATGGTCAGTGCATTTTAATACTGTAGCATTGCCCTGGCATCAGCAGCGATGAAGATGCGTCTTCTTAGTGTGCTTATGTTTGTATTTCACCATTTTTTACCATTCAAGTTTGGAATCACATATCATATTAATTACTGTGGTTGTTTTGTCCATAAGAGTGTATTTAGTGTAGATTGAAACATTTTTCAGATGTTTAATTCAATATTCCAAGTTTTTATGAACAGAAAGGAGTAATTCAATGATAAATAATATACTGTACTTAGCTATTTGTTGAAATTTCACAGTCTAACTTCATTCATGATTCTCTACAGCTTTCTTAACTATTGTGGAGTCATCTACAGATGCCCTCATCAGCTTGAACACATCTACAATGTAGATGTCATGTCATTTTTACAGATTCCTATTAATTTAAAACCTGTGAATTTGCAGAGTGAGACTGTCTGCAGCAACAATGCTATGTATAACTTCAACATGAGCCTCGCATTACTTCAACATGAAAGGGTGGGCTAAACTGCTGAAGCTTGAATAGATGATTCAGTGTACATATTTCATGGCTGTGACATCAGAAACATAACAAATTCCAAACAACCAACAAATTTGGTTTTAATGTACAGTGATTCCACATTATTGACGGTAGTGTATATGTATATCGTGTTATCTGTATGTGATGGAGTATTTGCATGTCTATATCTCGGTAGCATACTGTAGTAAACAAGGCAGGGTCAGCTGAACCTGTGGGTCACTCCTGTCCTGCTCCAGCTGTAAGGACAGCTTGGACTGTAGCCTGCTCTGGGCTGAAGCAGAAGGCTGTGGCGGTCTTCTGAAGGATGGGGCCGAAGAGAAAGACCTCCGAACGGAGCCTAGTCGCTTCCACAGCTTCAGCTGGGGCTCACTGGGTGAAGACTGACTGCAGTAGAGGTCGCCTCCCAGCCCACAGCCTCCATCCAATTCCTCTGACCTCCTGGAGGAGCAACACACCGCTAGGATGCTCACACACCCTCCGAAAAGCAGGAATAGGACGAGTGTGACGATGATGGTGGGGAGCGGGTGATGAAGGTCGAGAGGAGGAAAGGCTGGGGAGACAGGGATGGAGAGGTTGGATGAAGGGAGAGAGAGATTAGATAGGGGAGGAGCGAGGGACGAATAGGAGGAGGTATAGGTGACAGTGATGTTTTGTAGGTCGTCCATGTTGGATCTGAGGAGAAAAGAAAAGCAGAGATGTTTAATGGAACCATTTTTGTTGTTTTTTTTAAGACTTAAATATGAAAATGAGTTGGACTGAGAAATGGCCATTTTAAATGTGTAGATCCTTTAAAAGGGCTTGAATGATCCATTTGCTTCCTGACAGCCAGGAACAGCACAACGTTTAATCATTTTGCCTGCAGTTTTCAGTCCAGTAACTCTGCTGAAAGACTTTCTGCAGGAATAACACTCCTCATCGCTTCAACATCAGCAGGCAGGCTAAACTAATGAAAGCTGAACAGGTAGTCGTATGTAAATATTTCATGGTTGTGACATCAGAACTATGAATAATTCAAAAGAGCCTGTTTTTGCAGCTTATTTTCATACAGTTCTGGACAGCATTGTTGGACACCCTTATCATTTTTTTACAAAATGTTATTTATCTTAATAAATAAATGGAAATATACCTTTATATATATATGTTTTTAAATATTAAAATATTGAAATAAATTTCTAGAGTTATTGAAAAAAAATCTCAACTAGCAGGAAGTGATTTTAAAGAACAGAAACAAAATATGACATGGACAGTGTTAACGGTACCCTTTCTAATATTTTGTTGCACACCTTTTTTATTGAACATGAGTGTTTATTGGCCAAAGATGTTTTACAATACCTTTTTTATGAGACAATGTACATTATGTAATTAAATTTAGGGCAGCCAGTAATGTTGGCCAGAACTGTATAC